GGAGGAGGAGGAGGAGGAGGAGGAGGAGGAGGAGGAGGAGGAGGAGGAGGGGTGGAGGAGGAGGAGGAGGAGGAGGAGGGTAGTGGTGATGATGATGATGCTGATGATGATGATGATGATGATGATGATGATGATGATGATGATGAGGATGATGATACTGATGATGCTGATGATGATGATGATACTGATGCTGATGCTGATGATGATGATGATGATGATGGTGGTGGTGGTGGTCGTGATGATGATGCTGATACTGATAAGGATGATGATGACGACAAGTATGCTGATGATGACGCTGATGATGATGCTGATGATGATGATTACGATAGTGATGGTGGTGGTGGTGATCATGATGATGATGAGGATGATGATGATGGTGATGATGCTGATTCTGATGCTGATGACGGTGATGATGCTGATGCTGATGCTGATGATGATGCTGATGATGTTGATGATGATGCTGCTGCTGATGATGATGATGATGATGATGAAGATGATGTTGATGATGGGGATGATGATAATGATGAAGAGGAGGAGAAGAAGGAGGAATAGGACCAAGTGGCGGATGAGGAGGCGGAGGATAATGATGAGGAGTTTCGGGTGGATGTGGAGCATCCGATTCCCATGGTATCCAGCTGCCTACGGCAAATCACGCCACCGTGTCAGCACAGCAATGTCGCGTTAAGGAGGAGGAGGAGGAGGAGGAGGAGGAGGAGGAGGAGGAGGAGGAGGAGGAGGAGGTGGAGGAGGAGGAGGGGAGGAGGAGGAGGAGGAGGAGGAGGAGGAGGGAGGAGGAGGGAGGAGGAGGAGGAGGAGGAGGAGGAGGAGGAGGAGGAGGAGGAGGAGGAGGAGGAGGAGGAGGAGGAGGAGGAGGAGGAGTGGGAGGAGGGGGAGGGGGAGGACTGTCACGGATGTACCCTTGGGCCGTGGGTCGGGCTCACACACCTCAGCCCCTAGGGGAGCGGGGTCTGGCCGATGCGAGAAACTTGCCACGCGGCCTAAAGCGGGGGGCGGAGGACAGCAATGATATTGAGGTGCTTACTGAGGAACACCAGTCGATGCTCCACCTCTATATCGCCTTCTCTGTCCACCGCCCCCTCCTCACCCTATGCACTCTGGTGATCTGGTCAAATCCGGGCTCCTACAGGGTGGCATCCCAAGTCGGGGAAGCGAACTTGCCTCCGCAGTGGTCCGCACACATACTGAATCTGTAGCCGTGCACTGCCCAGCGGTTCCCCTCAGGGGAGCAACCGGACCCCTAATGAGTCCGCGCGCCTCCCTGCCGCTGAATTTGAGCTCCAGGTACGGCCAAAACAGCCTCAGCGCACCGGTAAGCTGCCCAACTCACCGGTGTTCTCTCCAGGCACGGCCGAGAGCTACCCGTTGGGAAAGCCCGACATCATGACGGGCGAGATGCGAGCACGACAGCACGACTCATGAGGGGTACAGTCCCCAGCGTGAGGGGTCAACGCATGAGCGGTGCAATCCCCATCGTGAAGGGTCAACGCACGAGGTAAGGGGGACCAACTCCCCAGCAAGAGGGGTCACCTTTCTGTACCCCTTTGGCGTGGCTGGGGAATGGCATTTGCACCAGCCCCACAAGGACGAATTGGCTGCCCAGGTTAGGGGTGGTAGCGCGCGGGGAGGGCTGCCAATGCATGCAACGCGTGCCAACGCATGCCAATGCATGCCAACGTATGCCAACGCATGCAAATGCATGCCAACGTACGCCAACGCATGCCAATGCAAGCCAATGAATGCCAATTCATGAAACTGCATGCCAACGCATGCCTGTGAATGCCTGTGCATGTCAACGCATACCAGCGCATTCCAACGCATGCAATCATGTCAAGGTCAGGGTAGCGCGTCCGGAGACAAGAGTTGACTACCCGGGTTATGGGTAGCGCACGGGGAGGGATGCCTTGTTAGGGGTAGCATTTGGGGAGGGAAGATCAGGGGTCAACACATGAAGAGCGAATGCCCCAGCATGATGGGGGTCAACGCATGAGGGGCCAGCCAAGGCCCCAGCATGAGGGGTCAAGGCAGGAGGGGCCGAAGCCCCGGCATGAGGGGTCAACGCGTGAAGGGCCAATGCCCCAGCATGAGGGGGTCAACGCATGAGAGGCCAGCCAAGGCACCAGCATGAAGGGGGTCAGGGCAAGAGGGGCCGAAGCCCACGCATGAGGGCTCAACGCATGAAGGGCAAATGCCCCAGCATGAGGGGGTCAACGCATGAAGGGGCCAGCCATGGCCCAAACTTGAGGGGGTCAGGGCATGAGGGGCCGAAGCCCCGGCATGAGGGGTCAAGGCATGAAGGACAAATGCCCCAGCATGGGGGGGTCAACGCACGTGGGGACAGCTAAGGCCCCAGCGTGGGGGGTAAGGGCATGAGAGGCCGAAGCCCTGGCATGAGGGGTCAACGCATGAGTGGGTTAGGGCGTGAAGCGCCGACGCCCCGACATGAGGGGTCAACGCATGAAGGGCCAATGCCCCCGCATGAGGGGTCAACGCATGAGGGGCCAGCCAAGACCCCAGC